CCACTTCCCCACCTCCCGCCGTGCGAGACACCACTCCAAGTCGCCAAACACCCGGCGCGCCCAACAGCTCTGATCAACAGCAGCCTGTCGGACGGTCGCGCGGGCCAATCGATGGCGGCACTCGCGGTCGCCGCCGTGCGGCCCCGCGGCGGCCTATGCAGGCCGAAGAGATCCCCGGCGCCTCGGCCGCGGGCGCCAGTCGAGCCTCTGCCCCGCCATGGCCTCTCGCGCGCACGTCCGGGCGGCCGTCGGGCTCCTGCGCCGCTTCACCCGCTGGGCCGGGGGCGACTACTACGACGGCACCACCTTGGTCCAGCGGGGCACCCGGGGATGGTAAGGCGCACGCCCGCGCCCACCCGCCCCGGGGGGGGGGGGGTCCCTCTCCCACTTTGCTCCACGACCCTTTACCGGCCACCCGTCTCTCTGGCGCAGGTTGTGGCAGGTGGGCCGGGTGATGGGCCTGCTCCCGATCTCCTTCAAGAACTGCGTCTGCCCGTCGCAGCCGGCCTTCCTGTCGTCGCGCGGCTCTGACCGCCTCGGCGACCCTGGCTTGCCGCCGTCCTGGGACGCCACCGGGCGCATCGGTGGCGTAAAGGTACGTGCTTTGCATGATGAACACGACCGGCTCGGCCAGCTGTGAGCTGTCCGTGCTTGGACACGACCGCACGCAGAGAACCATTTAGTTGATACAACCAAATAAGGGTCGCACGAAATAAAATTTAGTTCCTGAAACAGATGACTTACTTTTTAGTCAAAGCAATCGAAATTTCATCCACACTAAAATTTTATTGGTTTTAGATTTGGTCCCTTGGGACTTAACGATTTTCTGTGTGCGGCTTGGCCAGCTCTGTGAACCACCCTCTGTCGCAGGAATGCTCGTGTCCGGTGGCTGCGCGCTCCGTACCCTGGATGATGTACTCATGCGGCGTGGCCGCCGTGCTGCTGCCCATGTCGATGTACGCCGTGTACTCGGACCGGGCGGAGGCGCGGGCGGGCCGGCCGTCGCTGCGCATGTCCACGCGGACGGACGAGCTGGTCACCTTCTGCGACATCCTCAGCAACTCGTTCTGCACGCTCGTGTGCTTCCTGCAGCTCGCCTACCAGATGCAGAAGGGCTCGCTCTTCTCCCTGCTCGACCAGATGCAGCAGGTGGACCGCCTGCTGCAGATACGGCCGCCGGCCGTGCCCGGCCTCCTGGCGCTGTGGCTGCTCCTGCTCATCCTCATCATGTTCATGGACGCCTCCATGTGGACCGAGATGAACCAGGGGCTGCAGTACGCCGCCACCTACCTGCCCTTCTACGGCGTCTACCTCAACACCTTCGTGATGGAGGTCCTGTTCATCGACGAGGCGCACAGCATAAACATGCGCTTCAAGGCCCTCAACCAAATGCTTGACGCAGCGCTAGCACTGCCCAGCTACCAGGGTAAGATTATGTCGGAAATAGCGGGTGCATCATAAAGGTTTCTTCTTCCTGCTTTGGCTAGCCTTCACTCCCACCCCCGTTCTCGACCAATCGGAAACGTTTGTGATCTATCCGTTATTCTTCTTCTACCGTTAGCCGAAATACACTATTTCAGACGTTAAAACTAGACGAAAGAGAAAGGAGTTACTCGGCCCCGTTAAGGACGTTATGGTTTATCCTTTTCAGCAACTGCCACTTATATACTTTAATAAAATGAACAAGACGGTAGCGCTTGCACTGGGCCGGGGCCGGGCTGAGCGTTGTACGTAGTTCGGTATGAGCAAAGCAGAAGGCGGACAGTTGTGTTTCACTACCGCCGCGAGCGCGCACCTCTAGATCCCCAGTGTAACCTTATTTCGTGACGTTTTCGGTTGTATTATTTTACTTTGATCACTCAACTTACGTGAGTTGTTAAGTGGATTTAAAAGTGTGACCTTAAAAAAGAACTTTACAAGCATCTTCAAAATCAGTCCGGTTGAAGGTTTGGGGAGCAGTGCCTCATAACCTAACTTGAGGCAAACAACGCCAGAGTCCCCATTTGATAGACCATTTCACCCCAGCGCTTTTCGACCTCTCGAAGAACAAAAATACCGGAAGTCGTGCAGTATATGGAACGTTCCTAGCCGTTAAACACGTTAGATTGAAGCGGTGTGTGCCGTAATAATATATTTTTGACTAAATTTAGGACTGAGAAGAGTAGATTGTCGGTTGCATT